TCCTCTGGTCCCTTGGTCCCCTGGTCCCTTGGTCCTCTGGTCCTTTGGCCCTCTGGTCCCCTGGTCCCTTGGTCCTCTGGTCCTTTGCCCGCTGGTCCCTTGGTCCTCTGGTCCTTTGGTCCTCTGGTCCCCTGGTCCCTTGGTCCTCTGGTCCCTTGGTCCGCTGGTCCTTTGGTCCTCTGGTCCCCTGGTCCCTTGGTACTCTGGTCCTTTGGTCCTCTGGTCCTCTTGTCCTCTGCTCCTTTGGTCCTCTGGTCCTCTAGTCCTGTGGTCCTCTCATCCCCTGGTCCCTGGGTCCTCTGGTCCTTTGGTTCTCCTGCTACATCCCTTTATCCTTCTGCTGCCGCCGCTGCTTTTGAAACATGCTGTCCATACTTGTTTGCGTTACGGGGGAGGCGCGGCGCCCTCCCCCGAACCCCCTCCCGCTTCTTTAATCCTCCAAGAAAGCTCCAAGTCAAGCCCAAAGAAACGTTAAAGAAGCGAAGGCCCAAGCGAAGCTTAAAGTCCAAAGAACCCCCAAAGAAACGAAGCTCTAAGCCAAGCCCAAAGAAACCCTAAAGAAGTGAAGCCTCAAGCCAAGCACAAAGAAACCCTAAAGAAACGAAGCCCTCAACCAGGCCCAAAATAGAACCCTAAAGAAGAAAACCCAAAAGCGAAGCCGTGAGCAAAGCCTAAAGAAGCCTTAAACCCCTGATCCCTTGGTCCCTTTGACCTCTTGCTCCCTCTGTTGCTTCCTGAATGTCCTAGTCCCTTGAGCTTTACTGGTTTGCTGGTCCTAGTCTCTTGGTCTCCGGGTCCGTTCGTCTCTTTGGTCGTTCCATATCCTGGTGACCGCTCCAGATTGATATTGAATTATGTTTGGAAGGTACATTTGTTTACGGAATGTGTTCATTTGTTTTTTGATTTTTTCGGATTCTGCTTTTGCAGCTTTTCTGTTTCTGCTGCGTTTTTGCTTTTGCATATGCTTCTGCTGCTGTTTTTTCTCACTGTGCTGTGTTTTTTTAACTATGTTTTTATGCTTTCCATTTTGTTTGTTCTTCTTTGCTTCTTCTATTCTTCTGCTTTGGCAACTGTTTTGCTTTTTGTTTTTGCTTACTTTTCTGGCTCTTGTTTCCCCTTCTGTGCATGTCTCGCCTTTCCTTGCGTCTCACCGCTTCTTTGCTTTGTTACTTTTCCTGCTTTTCTGTGCGTGTGTTGCCTTTCCTTGCTTCTTACTGCTTCTTTTGTTTTTCTGCTGCTGGGTTGGTCTCTTTCTTCTTCTAATTATATAGTTCTTCTCTTTGGTACTGCCACTACCACTACCACCACCACCACCACCACTACTAATACTACCACCGCTACTGCTACTGCTACTCCCACTACTACAACTCCTACTACTAATACATCTTCTGCTACTGCTACTGCTGCTACTGCTACTGCTACTATTGTTACTACTACTACTACTTCTTCTTCTTCTACTTCTACTTCTACCCATACTTCTACTTCTACTTCTACCACTACCACCACTACCACTACTACTCCTACTACTACGACTACTACTACTACTACTGCTACTGCTACTACTACTACTACTACTGCTACTACTACTACTGCTGCTACTACTACTACTAGTACTAGTACTACTACGACTACTACTACTACTACGACTACGACTAGGACTACTACTACTACTACTCCTACTACTACTACTACTATTACTACTACTACCACTACTACTACTGTGATTTTTTTGATCTAAATTATTTTTAAAATGATCTCCTCAAACAATTTTTCTTTGATCCCTATCAACTTTTTTTTTGATCCTTCACCCCTCTAGTAGCAAGTGACCCCACAAAACACAAACCGAAGAGGACCCTGCCAGCAAAGTGACTAAACTGATCTCCACTCAACAAACAAAGGTTGTGATGTGTCAGAACATGAACCTTCAGTGTCCCCCCAATTTTTGCCGTGGAAGAGAGACCCAGAGGCGCCTGACAAGATTTCTCGGAAGCTGCAAGCAGATGCCAAGTGGGGCGACCCAAAGGGATTGCACTGATTGGCAGGTCAGGGCTGACGAGCGCACCGCTGTGGGTGTGGCATTTGAACAAGACCTACCCAATTGGATCATTCGGTGGTTAACCTGAACATACCTGAACTGGAGCGTGTTTGAAGAATTGCATTCTTATGCCTGGTCCTATACTACATCCCATGGCCACTAATTACACATGAATTGCTGAATTGCTTTGGCTTTTTGTTCGGGAAACTAAGTCACAAAACACAGGCATTCTATCCGGTCTATCCCAGTCATTGCGAGTCGGCAACCATCATCAACTGTTGAGGTGCTTAGGACAGACCGCACAGACAAAACTACCAAGATTTTCCGGGACCCTCCAAGTACTAAGTACCTCGGAACATGGGTACAAGTACCTGTTGGTTGTGGTCATGTCCCAGGACCTCTGTCAGGGGACCTCGTCTCGTACTCCCGGTGTTTGTCGGGTCCGCTTCACCTGGACGGTCTCGTAGTCCCACCCTTCCACCTGGACTGGCGGACGGCGAGATCAGTTCTTGACACCAGGACTGTCCCCTGACTCCGTGTGCAGCCCCGTTCGGATGAACAGCTTTTGGTCACTGAACAGCCTTTGGATGTGGTTCTCAAAGCGACACCAGTTCATGATCAACGGATAGAACCACTTGATGAGGGGATTTGGTTGTTTTTGATCCTAATTTATTCAAGCAAATGCGCGTTATATCTAGACGAGTGACGCTAATACGACGGGCACAATCCTGTTCACCAGCAACGACTTCGTACCTCAAGCTTACCTCGGCGACCAATGGCCGTCCACTTCGGTTTCTTCGCCTTCGTTTTTGCTTGAAGAACATGCCAAACGCCTCAGGGAAGTGGAGCAGTTCTTGTTAGCCAAAGACTATGCCAACGCGATGAAAGCTCTCGAGACGTACCGCTTAGGCGTGGTTCGGCTCCTGGGAGCGGTCTTGGAGTCCTGGTGACCAGTTGGGCTTCAAGTGGTTTGGGAAAGTACTTGTTGTTTGAGGATGTAGACCCGACTGTACCTAGACACCTAGACAAGATATGGGACATGACGGACAACCCCTAAACCAGGTACGAACGTACCATTTGATGTTCCAAGGTACGAACTGAGCGGTATTGACTCATCTTGCTTTGTTAGTGGGTAGGTGAACTGGACGCATGAGCAAGACACCCAAGCACCAGCATCCGATCCGGGGCAAGGAGCAAAGCACAGCTTTGGTGGCAGACATCGGATCAACGGTTCTTTTTGCTGTCAGGGAATGAGAGAAAGGTTGAAGAGTAGACCCACTTGATACATCTTGATACATGCTTCAAAACCCAAGAGTCAAGGTGAAATCAATGTGAAACCAACTTAGTTGCCAAGTTTGGGTGGATGAGAGTCGATGAGAGTTGCTGTGAGACTATTTTACTATACAACCACTCTCAGTGGGCGTGACGTCCACTTCAATGATTCTTGCAGCGAAGAAGCCACGTCGTGGGGTATATGGTTTTTGTTCAATGTTTTTTCCATGAAGCAGCCAGACGCGGCGTTGGGCGGGTGGCACGGACGTCGCGGCGCTGACTCCCACCGCTCGGACTTCGCGGGGTGGATGGAGCTCGACCAGTAGGGCTCGGGGCGAGAAAAGGGGAAGACTCTGGATGAAGAACCACCAGTATCCCCAAGGTTGAATTTGGACAATCCTCTTCATATGGGGTGGTTTATGAATCAAGAGTTTACATTACACTACCCAAAGGATCTATAGAACTCGTCGCAGAGCACGGCCGCAGTTGGAGACTGCCGCACCGCGATGGTGCGATGGAGATTTAGAGAGGGGGTTCTTTCATTGTCGAGAATAAGCAACACGTTTATATAATATATATATATAGACACATAATGACACATATGTGATTGAACATTTGAACAGCATATTTATGTTACCTGCAAAACACATCATATTATATATGTATATGTGAATTTGAGATCCATTACGTCGTAGACAAGATTGATGTTGGAACATCATACTATATGCATCCCAGACTCAGCACGCACCCGCTTCCTGTACGGCCCCATCCCGCAGACGTCCCCAATGGCGGCGGCGAGTTCGAGTGGAGCGCCGAGGGCTGAGTGATGGCTTGGTGACAGCGCTGGAGGTTTGACGAGCGGCCGTGGAGCTGCAAAGCCTTCCTTGCCAGTTAGCCTTTGAGAGCCTACTTTCCAATAAGATACGATGAGGGTCTTGTGTGTGAGTCGTTGTGTTGGTGTTGAGGTCCAAAAAGTTGGAGTTTGGACCATTTGGGTTCGCTTCAACCTCCTTTCTCTCCAAAAGAATGACCCTGAATTTGAGCATGTTCCAAATATTGGCAACCATTTATATACGCAGGCCAAACAATTGTCCAGCTTCTCAGTTCAACACTCTTACTTTGTTTGAAAGACCTGTGACAATCTCAAGACATTTAAAGATGCTTTCGTACATATGACATATTTCTTCCTTTCCTTTCGTGATCCCATTTGCTCAAGTCGCATCAAACCAAGTCCAATAACACGGAATATGGTCGTTGTTTCAGGCCGTTTTACACGTCATCGGACCTGATGCAGGTTAATCTTCAAAAGTTTGGTGCAAAAGGCCCGTTTGAAGTTTCCACAGCAGGAGATAAGTGGCCTCAATCCAGAGATCCCTGTGAAACTTGTAGTAGAGTATTTGTCTTGAAATGCTCGTACTGTGCCTTTTCGTTGCAGGTACTCCAAAAGCACAGTACCCAGTGGGTTTACTGCAGACTTGGATGGGCAGAATGCCTACTTTAAGACAGACCCTTCCCCTTGTGGCCCCCAAACTGGTGCTCATATGATATGGTAAATATGGTAGCCTTTTGTTCCATCACCACCTGCAAGCAGCTTTGGATTCCTCGCAAGCCAATCCTCTGGCGAAATACTTCTCTGGCTGCCGAGATCAAACCGATCGTCGGGTTTTCAATGCCCAGAGTCGGGGTGGTTTGGCCTGTCAAAGTCAGACCCACTCGGCAGCCAAAAACATCGTGCCGTGATTCACGCGATTGAGATTTTGGAACTTCCAAGACAGAAAGCTGGATAATTGGTCAAGAAGGCAAAAGAGGAGCAGAACAGGTTTAAGCGGGTATTTGTTTGTGATTTGTGGTTCGACGGTAGACTTTATCTCAAGACTAATTATTGGCACAGGGCTAAGCACAAAGTCATTGTTGCGACGACGCAACAGAGGGGTGCGCTTCTGGGCTATCAAAGTGAGCAGGACTGCGCAGTTTGGTTGCTGCAGTAACACAATCCTGCAGTACCCAAGACGCTCCAAAAGCACAAACAAACACTGTGTGAATGCCGACGATGTGATTGAACATGGTTCATGGAAGGTACCGGAATTTTATTTGTGACAAGCCTCAAAGCTATATAGTCTTATGAAACACGCGTTGTTTCCAGCCATTGCTGTCAGCAACCACAACTATTCTTTTTTTCCGTGGTACCTTTTCTCATCCGCGGCGTTTTTAATAACTATATATAAGCTTTGGGTGAAGGTGGGTGAGCCAAGAAACCTCGTATTTGTTGAACTCTGTCCAGAATCTGGTATGGAGGCTAAGCATGTACAGTATCGCAATATATCGCAATCATGTCTCCCAGTATCTCCCAGTGCTTGTTTCCCCAAAAAAGGGACTGCTCCAGGACCCGATAATATAAGAACATGGGCAAAGTCGGTGGTGTGGGGGGACGTTGAGGTGGGGATCAGCAAGAAGTCGTTGTTTGGTTCAATATGGAGCTCCCTGCTGAAGCGGTGCAGAATGCATACCACCATATATATACACCACATCCAACGCTTATGCGACTGGGCTCATGTCAGCTTCTGAAGTCTCAATCGCAGAGACTCGCATGCGAAGTGCGTGTGAAGTGTGATCGCTTCGGGAGCATTATTTTTGGGCACCTGAAGCGTGGAAACACAAGAGCTAAAGCCTAGGTCTATGATTGCAAAAGCTGAGAGGTCAGGTTGTGGATGTTGACTGGATATGGGGAGGTTGCTTGAATTGTCATAAGTCTCCAACCACTGCAGTGGAAACTATCATCACAGGTACTCGGGGGCATTAATTTGTGGGGCTTGCTACAAGCACGAAAAGACACATGTGGTTTTTGTTGTTAAATGTTGTGTATATGATTGCTTTTTCACCTTGATGAAAGGAGTCAACAGAAACCTCACAGTCACTACCTTAGAGAAGCAGTCGTCCTGTTGCGGATTCGGATGCGACCGGAGGCACCGCGAGGCCAGAAAGCGCTCCCACCGGTCCCTCCAAAGGGATTGAACAAGAACAGATTCCTAGAAAAAACCCTCCACAATATGAGGGTTGGGCCTCCACTTAGGAGGGTTGAGGAGCCATAGCATTTGGGCACCAAGGAAACGTGGACAATGACAGTGGGCATTCATTTTATCCTCAGCCTTTTGAAAGCCTGCCATATGCGCGCCTGGATTCAAAAGTCCTCTCTAACGCAGGCATCGGCTCAAAAGTATGACATGAGGCAGACTCCGAGCAAAGGCCACGCGTCGAATCTCATCAGAGTTTGTGGTCTCGCAACAAGACTGTAAAACCAGAGATTGCTATATGGAGCGAGATACCATCATTTAACCAGACTGGGACAACCTGGCTGAGCAAGAATCACCAATCCTAGAGGCATTGAGTTTCATGCACTGTAGAACACTACTACATCACCAGTGTCCTCTGACTTGACCAGGTGGACATTGCCCAGACTTTTGCTGGGCTCATGCGACCAATACCACGTTACAAGCCATCATCTCCACTGAAGCCATCCAGCCAAAGCGTCTCAAAGATCAACGCCTTTGCCCCTTCTCCGGCGCATGCGGACACCGCGCGTGCGGACCGTGCTGCTGCTGCTCGGGCTAGGCAGCGGATGGGAGGATGGCAGAGACCAGGTCGGATAGGTTCGAACATGTTAATCCATGTGTTTACACTGCCACCCTCCAAGTACCACAGATCTAGGGGTATACTACAAGGACCTGCCGTGCCGATATATTCTGATAGGTTCATGTATGTTCATGTCCCCTAAACCCTAAACTTTGGAGGGTTCAGGGGCTTCGGGGGAGATTGACAAGGGATGGACGACACGAAAACCAAGCTGTTGAATGATGACCCATGCGCCCACATCATGGTGCCCTCACATCAAGGTGCTGTAGGTCAAAATGGGTGTGTAGGGAGACCTCCCAGGCAACGACACTGTGACCCCGTGGAAGAGGTAAAATAGACCACAGCCCATGGGTGGCGTGTTTCCCTATCTAATTACAAACCCAAAGGAAAGATCATGTGCGCTCTTCCATGTGTTGCATTTGGGCTGGGAGCAACAGATCTTGTACTCGCACCCTTTTTATAGGGGTTGAAGTGAAAACACCTTTCCCTCCTCGATGTCTTTTGCACTGGTAGAGCCTGAAAACATGCTCAAAAATACATAAATAATGTAAAAACAAAAAAACATACACACACAATGGACTGACCAGATCTGGCCAGGCCCTTTGATGCTCCCAGCCTGGCTACGTCCTCTTTGGAGGCTCCTGATCCACCGTCGAACGACGGGGTGGGGCGTTTTCCTTTTCTCGACTCGAGCATGATGAGCATGCAGGGAGACGTGGTCATCCTGATGTGGCTTAGGGCAATTGGTGTTTCTTTCCCTATGAGTGAATCCATGTGAATGGTTCCTGGACAGTAAATCCAAATAAGGGTGGTGGCCAAGCCAGTGCCGTGCCGGGAATGACACGTATAGTAGCTTGCCAAAGTTTGCGGCGTGGTCGCGTTTTAAACCTCATGTGACTCATGTCCTATACCATGAAAGAACATTATATACATTGATCATCAATCAAGTTGTTCACATAATTACTGCAGCAATGCTTTAGTTTTGGGGCTGTCTGAAGAGTGCCATGACAAACCTGGCAGACCAAGGGAGACACATGGGCCACGACAGATCGAACCATGGAAAGGCACGGCATGGACTTATGGCGTGAACCTTCAGGAGTTTCCGCTCTTTGGACAACCTTCAAACCTACACACAGACCAACAGCACATCCATGTTGGACGTTTCCAGGCGTTCATCCAATGTCCTTGCCCAGGCGGACAAACCAGGGTGGTGATTCAGGAAGGACCAACTGCCATAAATCGACAAAATCTTGAACAATGCTTTCATCATCTCTTGTCCAAGCTGCAATTTGTTTATCCAAGCACTGCACTTCCAACCTGACACATCGTGAATCGCAGGAGGCCCCTTCAAAGGAGGCCTGGGCCGGGAGACTCGTGCCGGATTACCTCTTTCCATTCTGAACCAACCAGGGGACCGACCCAAACTACGCAAACCATCTCCAATCCTCACGTGCTTGGTGGACCGTCGAGAAGCCCGAAACTCAAGGATTTCAGCCACTTCTATATTAATTCACTTCTATTTGATTCAGTGACTCCTTGCTACAAGAACAATGTCAGCACTTCTCAGACGACAACTCGTCAATTTGCCAACAAACTCTTCAAGGATCTTCAGGGCCGATACAAGATGTTTTGGGTTCGCTTCAACGACCGTGTTCAGCAGTTCCGAGCCCATCGCCCAAATCATCACGTGGCACGTCCCGTGCGAAAAAAATGAGTTCGAAAGACATTGTGCAGACTACGGCCATGCACATGAGGGCAGCCAACGGCTTAAATCTCGAGTTTTTGAATTACACAGCAACACATGTCGACAGACCAGTAGTACGGTCACCGTCACCCAGTTTCGACCGTTCGACAAGAATGATTATACTAACATTTCCCAGACACGACTAATGGAACTGCCATATATGCCGATCAGTTGGGGTGCTTGAAGAGGGGTCAATGTAGGCATATATGGCATACATGGAGTGTCCAGGTTTGTTTCCCATATCCAGGGCTTTTCAGACCCTTGGCGAAGGTTGGACATGTTTCAACGTTTCTTTGGGGGTTCATTACCCGGGAATTGGATGCATCGGACATGAAGTATGCAATGTTCCCCTCAGATCCCCTCAGACTGTTAGACTGTTTTTGTGTGAATCCATGTTTTCGTCCCATGTGGCAAAAGTATGCAAAAGTGATATTCTCGGAGCATTTGAACAACTCTCCGAGAAATAATGGAAGTAGACTCCCCGTGTTTGCAGAGGAAACTTGTTTTTTTGTTGGGG